TATAGGGATCTAGCACTCCTGGACAGCAGACATTGGCACACGAGTCTCCACCACGTCCTCGCACTGGACCTCCTGAACATCAAATCTAGTCTAGCACATTCTAAGACTGAGGTAGTTTGGTAGATGGGTGGATTCCAAGATGTCTCACAGTGTTGACGCCTGTTCAATTGCACTATCACACATTTTTGGCTGCATTCAAGATTGCTGTCCATTGAAACATATGGTACGCGAAGCTCAGACAGCCTTCGCACTCGGCTATATTCTTCTTGCAACGGTGAATTTGCCATCCTTCAGACACCAGCCGCTCTGCAGAAGTCCCGCAAACAGAAATTGGTTCAGTCGTACAGCTCCCTGCCCCAAGTGAAGACACCTGGTGACATATTCTCTGTACCTCAATCTTCCACAGTCTACCTCCCTTTCAAATTGTGTACTCCACTCTTCTGTTGCCTTCCATGTGCTAATCTCTGTGTTGATCACCGGAACGCGCTTGGGACGTTGAGCAAGTTGAGCAGCCTTTTGTCGTTTCGCATCAGCTATTTCTTGGGTAATTTTCCTTTTGGTACCCTCGGACGGATCAAGCTCCCACTCATCCGATGACTCCGCCATGGCACGGCCAATGCCCTAGTGCTTAGCTGAAACGATCGGCCCCTTGAACAAACCACTGCGGCTCTGTGCTCTGGCCACTCCTTCTCAACCCCCCGCTCCGTACACGCAGATATATATGATATATATATATATATACATACATACATACCCGGGCCTGCAAGTACATGTATATATATATACTCACAAGATCATTTTCAAGTGTGGAGAAGCCAAAATAACTCTCCTCCAAGGGTGGTCTCCATGCGCTTAGGCCAACAGCCTGGCCAAGGTAGAGTTTGGCACGATTTGGCAGCAAAATGTGCACAAAAGTGTGTTGGTGTTCAATGTTGAGTGTTGACTGTTCTACATACATTGGCAACAGCTTCACCAAGCAAACAAAAACTGAAGTTTCTGTGCCTCTTCTGGTTCTGGACAGGCTAGCTGCTGTCTTGTGTGTGGACACCATTCGCTGGGAGCTTGACTCACTTGGTCCTGTCACTGTCCCCGATTGTTTGTGTCTTCACGTGTTCGCATGCGCTGGAATTTTGAGGAACATGCAAAGGAAAAACCATGATTTGTTCAAGGCGCATCTGGTGGCAAATGCACTGAGGCGGTGGACGTGCACGTAGGAAGCAACAGGTCAAAGTGACCAAAAGATCGCTGTTCTGCCACTGCCTCTTGCCACTCAAACCAAAGGTGCACACTCACAGCACCGTTGCCACAAATGAAGTCTTGAGGTAGATTTGGAGAGAACTGTGAGGCCAGAGCATGAGATGCTGGTGCAATCGTGACGCGCACTGTTTGCCCCAGAATGTCTGCAATCCACCCAATGTCTGGTAAAGAAAAAGAACCATCTTTGCCCTTGACATTGGCAATCTCTGCAGACAAGTGAGGGTATTTTTCCAAAGCTGCATCACCTCGGCTGAATGCTGAACAACGGTCATTCCACCCGACTGGCATCCGAACACATTTCTGTTGAAACATCTGCTGGTGAGGTTGGTAGAGTTAGAATGCTCGCAAATACATAAAAGAATATGTGTATATATATATATTACGATATGTTCCCTCACCAACCCCATACCGGAACTGTGTATCTGTGTATATATATATATATACATACACAAGTGTATATATATAATATATAGATATGAATGGTGCCAAGAAACAAGCTTGCAAGCAAAGCATTTGCGAATCCATGACCTCCAGTTCGTTTAGACGCTGAGATATAGGGTACTGGCTCTCGTTCCTGTACAGGGTGGCATGTGATTTTTGCATACTATACATATATATATATATACACCTGCACTGCACAAGAACAAATGGCTTTAGTTTGTTAGTTAAGTTCATGTGTATTAGGTCAAGGATGTTTCCACATGCTCTTATTAAACACCTTCCTCGGAACGGCTTTGTAGGCATCGATGTTCCCAGCTGCCAAAAAGCATCGCCAGCCACATCGACCGTCCCCAGCGATTCTCACCCTCTCAAAACCCACTCCGGAGGGAGGTTCTGCGGCGGAACATTCCGGTGTCACACTCGATTTGGCTGAAGCAAGGACTTTCTCCACAATCTTCTCATATAGGTGCGCACGGGTACTCTTGAACAGATTGCCCAGCATCACGATGTTTGAGATGTTGGTGCGCTTCGCATTGCACCATACTGGTTCCACGGCCACCGCGTGGTCTGAGTCCTCGCTTCTCTCAATGAAAGTCATTTGTCCGGGAATGACCGGATCAACCTTACCAATGAAACAGGAAAGAAGCAAGCAATGGGAGGCGAAAAGCAAGATCAAAGCCTATTTCGCAGAATCTCCTTTGACAACCTTCTATATATATATACACACAGGTTCAATCCGCATTGAAAGTTTGTAGTAAGAATGCAAATTCAAACACACACACACACACACACGCACATATGTCACATATGTATATATATTTATATATTATCTATATAAACATTGTACCTGGAGTAAAATCCTGGCTCATGCAATCAGGTGGCGTACACACACAAAGCTCTTCCCACGCCTTTTGCAAGAATGTCCTCCAAATGACTTTTGGCCGTGTCACTGGTGGCCCGATCCTGCGGCAAGCCCACCAACACCACACCTAGGATGTTCAGTTGCTCTTCCTCCGTGAGCTTGGCCACTTGCGAAGATGAGACAATGCAATCATAATTCCTTTCCACAATGAGCCGGCAGCACGTGTGCCGATGCCCTTGCTTTTGACCCATCAGCAGGCCCACAAGCTGGCAACCGTCTCGGAGGGCCCATGTCTGGAAAGACACTATGGCAGCCTTGTTAACGGCAATCTTGGCTTTGTCAAAACGTGCAAGCTGTTGCCTGGGCTGAACAAAGAAGGTATCAGTAACGTCCCTCGCTTGCGCCAAGTCAGGCACCGAGCTCGATGGCAGTGCTACTGGTAGCTCACAAAGGCGTTCCGGATCAAGACTCACTTGGGGAGCGACAGCTCTCACCTCAACTGAAATAGACTTAGAATGCTAGATTTGACACGCTATACTGTTTTTTTTGGGAGACACATGAAGAATAGAATTGCAATCCCAAGTCCATCCCAAAGCCGTTTCAAACACACACCAAACCTACCACAACCCTTAATGCATATATAATCAATATAAGCGACATCACCGGATTTGCCAGAAGCTTTCTCCAGCGCAGCCAGAGCCTTGTGGAGGTTGCCTGATTTCAAGGCAACGTCCATGTGAGAAATCCATCGTAGGGCTTCCGCAGGTCTCGAAAAACTTTTTGAGATCCTCCCATCATCTGTCTGAAACTCACCCATGAACGGCATGTCACTCTTTTCAGTCTTCCCCTCAATCAGGAACAGCTTGCCACGAGGGCTGGCACATGCAGCTTGAATGATTGCTTCTTCCACACAACCTCACAATGTGCATAGTACTTTGGCACAAAAGGAGAAATCTCTCTATATATATAGACATAGAATGCCCACCTGATGATTTTTTACAAGGAAGGGGATTTTGACATCCGATACCTTAGAACATTGGTTGCTGCTACATGCAACACAAGCGTGGCACGCGTCGCAAGTTACCCCGACCGAGGCACGTAGTTGCTTTGAACAACAGGCATCAGCAATACAATCTCGCTTATCATCAACCCTCCTCCCCTTCAAGACCAAGCCCAACTCAGTAAAATGCACCTCTCTCTCCTGCAGGGTCCATCATCACACATACTTACATAGTAATTATATATATATACTGACGCTTCAAGATCCCGAACTATATACGTATACACTCTCGGACTGAAACTTAGAATGGGGGGTTGTGGATTGCAGAGGAAAAGAACGAAACATGCATATGGGAGCCGGCCTTTGGCTTGAGAGCATCAAACCGAGCCAAGAGTTTGGTGACTTGCGAGCGGAATTCAATGGCCACCGCTGTTGCTGACACCTCATCCCCATAGTACGCGTGAGCAAACTTGCGGGTGTACTTCTGAAGCTTCACACTCACCCTTAGCTTTTCCACTGGCATTAAATTCTACAGTTAGAATGCGAGCACAGGTCTAGGTTTTATGATGCCAAACTGCTGAACCACTACTGGTTGAATGACTGTTTCGTACAAAATGCGAGGGTTTGATATATATATATATACGCTTGCTGTGGTGGTTATATATATATATAGCAGCGTTGCAGCGCGGAGCTAAGTCCAAGCATGCACAAAAACACTACCAGTAAACAGGCAGGCTGCTCCCTTTTGTTTTGTCCCACCCCTGGTGGCAAAGGCGGCGCATCCTTTGACCTCAAGAAGGATTGAATTCAAACATATAGAGAGAGAGAGAGAGCGGGGAGGAGTGCGCTGGGGTCGGATTGATTATATATATACAAGCAGGTCGGGGTTCCAAACAATTTGAACACCAATGAAAAAGACACTATAGTGGTTGTCCAAGCCACCCTGAAGCATTGGCTTGGGCTGAATTGGTTGCTTCACTTGAAGCAGGTTGCAGTGTAGGTTCATCTGGAGCATCTGTCGGTGGAGCACAGGCTGGTGCTGGAAGAGGCGGCGGCTCTTTCGGCAACTCACAGCCTTCCAGCACTAGCATCCCCAGTTGGATATCTCTGTCTATACACATATCTATATATATATATATACATATATGCATCCACATTTTTGCGTGTTTGATTGAAACAACACAGACTTAGAATGTAGCTTTTCTATGTCATATTGTTTACCGCATCTCGCCTGGTGGCTTGCTCCCCAGCAAGCCGGCCCCGATAGCACCAGATTTTTCGAGAAGCTGCATGGCATCACGCATGCTTATCGAGCAAAACTCTGCGGTTCAGAATTCTGCTTGCCAGACATCAAGGCGTATATACACATTTATATACTCTCGGACTGAAACTTAGAATGGGGGGTTGTGGATCGCAGAAGGAAAGAAAAACGACCGGATCGAACGGAAAGCCCTCAAAACATGCATATTGTGCAGTGGCAAAAGTTAGAATGCCTCTCCTCAGATTATAAAACAAGTAATAATATCATGAGTATATCGAGGCGATGAAGACATAGAATGTCTAGAATGTCTCTCTTCATGAAAGCCTTTGATGACTTCCCATTCCAACTTTAAATCCTCAACCCTCGGCAGCTCCTGAAGATTTGCAATATATATATATATACATAGAGAACCGGAACGAAACGGAGTCTGAAGAACACCGAGTGGTTGGGGAAAACGAGGTGCTTAGCTGTGAAGAAGGTCTAGCAAATAGATGAAGAGCCAGTGCCAGGGACTCACATTTGTGATATGATATATTTGCTCATGTGTTCTCTTCCCCCACTTCAGCGGTGGGTTGCAGCTCTGAATCGAGTTCTCATGTTGAGCAGGCCCAATGGGGGGCCATGTCTTGTGAACTCTACTGGCAATTGCGACTTTCTTGTCCACCGAAAGACTCATACTATCACGTGGATTCTGCCAAAACAACGACTCTGCAGCTTATATCAGAATGCCCAAAAACCAAATCAGCAGCTAAAACCGGACTGAAACTTGGAATGGGAAGTCATCA